TCCAACATGCAAAGTTCCTCAAATTTCTGACGGTTAGCTAATAAAAAAATTTAATACAATATGGCAAAATTCCAGGCCAATATCAAGAACCAAGTTCAGCTGGATCACTTCATACAGAATCATCATTCTAGGTATATAAAAATACTATGTCTCCCAATTAGAAATCTTTTAAGTTCCTAAAGTCTGTTAAATCAACTATAACTGCAATTAGTGATATAAACAATACCTAAAGTTATTTGCCCCTTCTCCCTACTTAATTCACCAAATAACAGGTATCATAATCCTGAATATTAATCCTCCATTGTTTACATTTCCATACCAGTAATGCTGCTGTTACAAGGAATAAAAACCACAGCAAGATCGTCACAGCAATCCTCATTACCTGATATAAATCCATTATCTAAATAGGTTTAAAAATCCATAATCAGAATTCTCATAAACGTTATCACCAGGTAATTTTTGTCTTGAATGCACAAAGCTTAGAATAAACATAAATGCACCAGGGATTGACACACTCTCTCAAGTGGGCAGCAAAAGGGACAAAGGTTACTGATTTAAAGCACTAAGTACCTACGTAACACCTCAATTTGATAAATTATTTTTAACTTGAATAGGCTCTTACCTTTTCTTTCCTTCCATTTACAAGTGAACAACTGACTGCCAGTTATTCAATACAGAAATCATCAATGGTACAAAACCTAAACTCTGCCCAAATGAATATCCTAATAAAGAATTCTCAGAAGTCATTCATTCCTGTCCTAGCTCAACCTATTAAGACATGTTTTCTTGCCCATTCTCATCTCATGGAAAAATTAATTACAATAGAAAGATTTCAGCACTAAGTGACAAGAAGTGCCACTAAACATCAATCATGAAACTATATGGCATTAAGCTTACTTTTAAAGCAAATTTTTACACTTTCCTTCACAGCTTTTAGGATAACATATTTAAGTTACAAACTACATAATCTTTTCTTAAAATAACAAGATCTTTACTAAGTGGCTACCGGATATTTTGGCCCTTATCCTGAGTATAGAAGAGGCAAAAAAATTTTTGCTTGAAAATATTTGATTTCACAACTTCCCACAGGTTAGGATGATTTAATTTGTAGCTAAAAATGATATTTTTAGTTAAAAGAACTCTTATATGCTAACCTAGGAGTGATAGCTTAGATCAGGATTCAGCACACTTTCTAGCAAGGACCAGATATTTTCAGGTATGTGGGCTACATACATCTTTGTAGAATAGTTTTATTTCTAACCCTTTCAAAACAAGCCACATGCTAAAAATCTGCAGACCCCAGGCTTAGATGTAGCACTTAATTAAAAGACACTTCCATACTATTACTTTTTCCTGCAGCCAAAGTCTTGATGGCCTTAATCATTTATTTATCTTTATACCCTAATTACTTTCTGAAATTAAACTCCTAATTCTTTAGGATACCTTTCTTTCACTATACTCTCAGACTGAAACAGACTTAGTCCAATCATTTCTCATATAAACTTCATATCTTCCTAACTTCAAAATCACATAAGAGCCTAAAATGGAGAGAAAATATCCACGGTAAACCCAGGCTGAACAAAAAGTACTTGAATCCAAATTTCTGAAAGCTGACAATCTATATCTCAACTATAAAACCTGACTATTTTGCAAATGTTGTTAAATTTGGCCTGAAGCTTGATTAGAGATCACTTTACTGCACTGTCACTAGATATACTCTGAAAAGTATAATGGTAATCAACTTCTAGGCTTTTCCTACTTAACTTGGAGATCTGGCTTTTATAACATTGACTCAAAAACACTTATTTATATATTAAATTCAACGTAAGTACAAATGTTTGGGTTAGAATCTATTTTCTAAGCCTCCATTTACTTTAAAAAATATTATTACATCCACCGAGAGCCAAGGATTTGTTATACCAGTTACTTAAATCTTGTGATAGATGTCTATAGTGTCAGGTTCCAGCAGATTCACATTGCTCCTTAATTTTTAAACTTTAATACTCGTTGGTTCCTTCAATACAAAGCTAGTGCTCTTAGAGATTATTTTTGAAGTCCAATTCCCTAAGAATATAACATTTTTTTTCTATTTCAGTGCAATCATAATTAGCAATTAGAAAAATAACATTCAGAATGAGTACTTAATATACTCCCTCCAAACCTATACCAAAAATAAGCCCCAAATATATTTACAACACTGGAGATGATATGTCTACCCTACTTCCACTTTTAAAAGTAAGTAAAGTAACTAGACGAGTAAATTACCAAGTAACACATTTAAAGATCTTTCGTAACTAGACATAGGTCTCAAAACAGTATTTAAACTAAGAAAGAAATCATATTCCAATCATTTCAATGCAAACTGAAAGTATCTTAAGAAATAAATTCTGGATTACTTCCAATTAAAAGTATCCATGAAAGTTCACTAAAACATTCATACAGCCACAATTATTTATGGATCTGTATCCATTAAGGGATTTCTTTAGAGCAGTGGTTGGCAAACTCAGTCAACAGAGCAGCAAACCGTGGCTCTAGACCACTGCTTTATTAGAGTATTATATCCCGTTTAATACTCCCTTCAAAAAAGCAGTGATGCTCAATATAACATTTGCATTCAAAATGTGATATGCTAAGAGAAATGTCAACTGTAAAGTTAGTCCTTGAAATTAATTTTCTAAGAATTCAACTTTCTAATTATAATACTCATTAAATTCTAATTATAATACTCATTAAAAAGGCATCCCTCCCAGATAAACAAAATCTAAGCATAAAATAAAAAATGAAATATGAACATTATCTTTGGGGTGCACACACAGGCCAGAAAACACATGACGATAAATGGGTTCCTATTTGATTGTTTTTATGACTTTTAAGAAGTGAGCATGAAAATAAAATCTTTATTTTCAGTCATTACCCACCAATAAAAGAAAGTTAGGTTCACAGTTTTAGCTTGACACATAGTGAACTAGGAGGCAAATTTACATCCATCAGGTACAACTAATGGACCAACTTCTTAAAGTTCAGGCTATTGTGAAAGCTTGCAACATATCAGATATTGCTGTGTATTCTCTAATGACAAAATGCCAGCAATGCCTGACAGCGAGTGGAACTTGTGAAGTGTTAAAAGCAGGTGTTTTCTATATGTTGCTAGAAATCAAGAGATGTATAAGCAGGTTTCAAGACCAGAAATGATTTAAGATGAAAGTCCAAACACACTAACTCAGGAGGGATCAAGAGTCCATATGGACTAATTTAACACTTGCCTCTGGGTAGCAGTTATGTTGGTAAATATAAAATTATATTAGACATTAGCACCAGTACAGAACACACACTGCATAAGATCCAAATCACCAGCACAAGTTATTCATCAATAAAAACCAATTACCTCCTTCCTAATAAGATGTCAAGCTAGTAGGTAACTAGGTTAAAAAACCTAATTCAAAGGAATAACTTTTGTACTGTACATCTCTTTTGGAAGTATATGGGAGAACTAATCAGCAAACAGCAGACATTTTATGATTTTAAGATTTTCAATATCTTAAAAACTGGACATTACCACACATAAGTAGAAAATTACTGAAAATGAGTGACAAAAATTTTTAAAGCTAAATAAAATTTTTTTTCTGCTTAAAAATAAATATGGCAGATTTTTAAAAAAATCCTAGAAAACCTGTTTACTGATCTTTCTCTCCATGTTTACTAAGTGCATTGACACTCCCATTCAGGAATCCGTTAATTAACCTATTTTTCTAAAGTAGGATGAGGTAAAAGATACTTATTTTTTATGGAACAGTCATTTATCAACTTAAGACCAAAGCTAACAGCAATATAGAAAATTAGGCAACAATAAGATTTTTGGCTTAATTTCATGGGTGGTGCTGCTGTTCCATCCTTAGAAAAGTAAAGCTGTCTGCTTTCCAAATTCCAAAAAGTAACACACTCCCACATCTTACCATACTAATCAGGCCCTTTGGTTTCCTTAGAATGGGAAGGGATAAAGGATCATTAATTATGGGTATATAATTTTGATTTCGGACCTTTCACAAACAAATCATACCGAGTGGCCAGAAGCAGTTTAAAATAATATGAATTAATCAAATCAACTTTGCTATAACCACCCTGTTGGAGGGGGAAAAGCCCAACACCCATAAAACTATTTCACCTGACAGGATGTGTTTTTCAACAATAAGTCATTTAAACAACTTTCTATTAGACTGTAAGGTGTCTAGTTTGGTTTTCGAAATGGGAAAGTCACACACTTTCAAATATAGCTGAAATTGTCAATCAATTATAAATTGAACTTAATGAACTCTGCAGGAGCGAGGATTAATAAACCAATGTGCTTTGAATTTGTTCAAGTCTGATATTTCTATATATAAAGAGTTAGCATATTAACAGCTATCATGAGAAGTGAAAAAGGATTTCCCCCCGAAATAAAAATATTAAAACTAAGTTAAAATACGTAAAGTCATTAGTATTCCACATAGCATAAATTTTGACAATCAGAGTTTACATGTCCCAGTTGACCATATGTGTAAATGCAAAGCAGGTACTAAAACTGATATTATGTCCAATATTTAAAACCAGTCTGTAACTGGGGGAACATCTAAATCCTTAATTAAAAAACACAAATGAAGTGAAAGCTTTAAACTGGTACACATGTTCACACCTATATTTCAAGTTTGGAAATGCATATTTGCAAGCAGCAATACAAAATATCCATGAAGTAATGCATAATCTCTGAAAATTATGAAAACATCCCTGCTACCAATACATTTCTAAATACAAAACTGACTACCATATTTGTTACTTCTGTGTAGCGAGAGAAGTTCATTTTCAAAACAGATAAAATTCAGTCTGTAGGTGTGAATGGTATGAATGACAGTCTTTTTTTTTTTTTTTTTTTTTTTTAATTTCTTAGACGGTTGGGATCCTTAAGCATGCAAAACCTCAGAGAAGTAGGGTCCACAAAGGAACCAGGGTTATCTTATGGCATCCAGTTAAGCCAGAGCTGGGAATGCCTCTGGGTCATCTACATCAGGAGCAGACGCACTTGACTGAAAAAGAAACAAACCATAATTAATAATGCTCAAACCTTGAAAATAAATCACCAGTGTCTACTTGTAGACACAGAACTCTAAAATATCGTGAAGTTAAATACTAATTAAATTCTCAAATGTGTCAAACCTTTTACTTAAAGGCAAAATTATGGATCAGACTAGGGCCACAAATATTTGCAATGAGTCTTGTTCTGGATTTCTATCAAGATTTAGGAAAATTCCCGAGTAACAGCCTGGGTTATTTTATTTTTCTAATACTCATAACAAGTGGATTAATATATGTGTGGAAATTCTTACTTAAGCATTCCTGTATTTTTCTCTACTTGCTAAATAATAATGGGATTAATTTGAAAGCAAACAGATTACAATTATTTTAAGCAGCACATTCATCAATATTAGAATGGGACGACCCAACTGCCAAACGCTATTAATAACATACAAATAACAACAAAAAAGTATTAAAAAAAGGCCACATATAGAACATTAGCTTTAAAAGCACCTGGTATCAACAAAACAAAATATCACTACACTGTTACTGGTGACCATAAAATCTGTAGTATTTCAACTGCCACTATAATCAAACACTGGCAGACCCAATCAAATAAATGGGTCCCCCAATTTGTTATCAGTTGTTCGGAATTCAGGAGGACATCATGATTATATCTATATACTAGATAGACAATAAAAGACAATGAACTAAAAGGTTTTAATAATATCTACACATTAAAAGCTTGAACTTTGACATCAGACCGATCAGAGCTCAAATCTATCAATTACTAGGGCTTATATCAAAATATTTCATAAGAACTTATGTGTTGTAGACTACATGCAAGGCATTGAAGATGACAAAAAAAGAATCCCACCTCTTACATAACAATGTTATGTAAAAAAAAAAAAACAACCCCAAAAACTAAAAATGTGTTCACTAGGCCATTATCTAATGAATTTCAATTCACACAATTAAATGATAAGACACAAAGGTTATGTTAAACTGAGTACTAAAAAACAGTGAAGGCAAAGGATGTAAGTTGGCATTTCAGGTAGACCTTGTCAAAGGCCAAGAGTTAATTTGGTTTCCTGTACTGAATTCCTCCTCTGTAAAATGGGGATGTCCACATAGTAACGTGAATCAAATGACATAGCACATAAAATGCCTAGCATAGCATCAGGACCAGCACCTAATTAAGTATTCAATAAAGTGTGGTAATTTAATTCTACTGGTAACACTCTTTAGTCATTTAAACACTTAAAAAAAATTTATAACAAAAAATGTTTATTTTTTTAAAAAATATTTTGATTTTTTTATAGAGAGGAAGGGAGAGGGACCGAGCTAGAAACATCGATGAGAAACAGAGATAAGCCACCTTCTGCAGCACACCACCAACAGGGGATGTGCCCGCAACTAAGGTACATATCCTTGACCAGAATCGAACCTGGGACTCTTCAGTCCAACGCTCTATCCAATGAGCCAAACCGGTTTTGGCCAAAAATGTTGTTTCTTTAAAAAAAAAAATTTTTTTTTTTTAACATTGATTTTAGAGAAGAGGTAGAGGGATGAATGGAAGTGAGAGAGACAGATAAACATTGATTTGTTCTACTTATTTATGCATTCATTGGTTGACACTTGTATATGCCCCAACTGGGGACTGAACCCAAAACCTTGACATATTAAGACAACAGCCAGGGTTCTATCTTTTTTCCTTTCACGTATGTCCCCCAAAGGACATTAAGCAATTTACCATAAGAGGTCCTTGATTTACTTAAAAGAACAAAATATTTAAAACTTACCTTGTCAGTCCTGCTGCCTCGGTTTGGACGTCCACCACGCCCACGGCCACCTCGTCCTCCCCTGCCACCACGTCCTGGGCGGCCAAGGTCTCCAAAATTGATCTCCAGCTGAGACGTTATATCATTTGCTGGCTTCCGGAAATGATGGTCCATAACCGAATCTTCAGCATGAGCCTGAAAATTTAAGTAAAGGCCACTGGATGATTACTAGGAAAATAATGCTGTAAATTTTAGAATGAGGTTTCCTCTGGGCCTTGCAATTGATCATCAACCTATGAACCAGGAGGTCATGGTTTCATTCCTGGTCAGTCAGGGCACATGCCTGGTTTGCAGGCTTAATACCAAGTGGGAGAGGGTGGGCGCAGGAGAGAGCAGATAAGTATACTTAAAAAAAAAAAAAATTACAGGCGATACAAGTCTCAATTAAAGGTATCTAATTACAACCACTCAAGCGACTAGGCCTCATCTCAAACCTAATGAATCATTATCTTTACCAGTACATTTAAAACATGCCTTTCAGATTAGAATTCCCATCAAGGAATCTCTGATAAAGACATGGAGAGCGTGTAAGGTTGCTATTATTGATAATACGGAATCTCTTTATAAGTTGTAAAGAAAACTTTACTCTATATTCTTCCAACCATGAGTTAAGCAATTGTGTACAGACTTCTGTTCATACACAACTTTTATATTGTTCTTTTATATAAATAGGAGAGCTACAGACTTAAGCAAATCACAACTTTACATAAGAGAACCTTGAAAAGCTGCACCCAAATAAAACATATCAAAGGAACAATCTTAAAAATGAAAAAGTCATGTTTGTGAAATCCAGATCCTATACTTTGTATTTACATCATAAGCTACATGATCCAGTCTGCAACAAACAAAAACACCAGAGAATTTTATACTGCTTATTATCTGACTTCACACACACACACACACACACACACACACACACACACACACACTATCCTCTTTTCTGGAGAAATATGAAAATTTTGTTCTTTCTAAATATCATATTACAATTGTTAATAACTACCCTTAAAGTACAAATATATGAATTTCTATCCATGCTTTCATCCCTTTAATCATTTAATATGGGATTAAGTGTCAGACCAACCTAATTTAAAGGCAATAAAAGGCTTTGTAAAGAAGCCTAAAAGATATGTAAGTCCACAAAATTGGTGGCAAATTAAAGTCAATTATATATACTAATTGTCTAACTTTTAAATGTTTGCTATTGCAAAGAATCTCAATCTATTAATCAGAAGTTTGTACAATTTTCTAGAGCACAGAAACAAAAAAAAGTCCAAGTTGATATTCTACTGAAACAATCTATAAGATTTTACTATAATATAAAGTCTGAATATTGAGGACACATCCCTAACCTTTGAGTAACAAGTAAAATTGTCAAAGCATATGAACGTGTGTTGATAAGTGAAAATGTTTTGGTTTCAAAGTTATTCATAACAAATTTCACATTTTATAGTTTCAAAAATATCTAATCATATACATCACCTTGTATAATTATTTTTGAAAAGCACCCTGGAAAATACTTAAAATTACGATAACCTAACCTAGTCAATAAAATACATGAAGAGTAATTCTAGATAAGTAAGTATTACTTATCTAGAATTATATCACAATTTTGTGTCTTGTTGTAGAGAAAAATTCTGTCAGGACCTCATTGAATTTACAAATAATTGTCTCAAAGATACCCAATAAATCTTTCTCATATTAACCTAAGTACTTTAATAATTAGTTCAACAATCTCCCCAAGGAGAACTTTCAAAGTTCTTTAATCTGAAATCCTACTTGTTTTACCCAGACATACAAAACAACTGTATCTGCAAGCACTATGAAAAAATAACCACATGTTCTAAATGAAGCACACTTTTTTTTCCTATGACTTGACACTTAAAAGACAATATTCTCATTTATACTAATTTTATACTGTTTTTAAAAAACACCTCTAAATATAGAAAAGTATTTAAAATTCTTCAACCTGTTTCATTTCAAATGTTTCCAAGCTTGCTTCACAACTATTTTTTAAAGAAAATTAAAATATATTAAGATTTTATTGCATCTTTTTATTACAGGTTGCCTTCTTAACATTTTAACTTTATGACTAAAATTTCATATTTACACAAGCTCTAAAAGGATGTAGCAATGGGACATTCCTCTAAGAATGTGCCCCAGGGTTAAGCAGAAGATGTCAAAACAAAAGCCACCAACATATCTTTCTCGTTAGTTCCCATGTTTTGTAAGTAAAGGAAACCAATATTAATTTTCTGGTCTTTACATCATTCCTCAATAAAGAAGGGTAGTACCATTTATTGAAGAGTCCTGACCATTATAATATGATATGGGCAGACAGTTTCAAGTATTAAATACTGTATAAATGCACTCATTTTATTGTAGGTTAAGCCACATGAAAATGCCAACCTTCCAATCTAATACAAGTCCTTGAATTTAGGCATGATTTTTAAAAATATCACAACTTTGAAAAGACTCTATTTATGAAATATAGTAATTGTAAGATTTATATATTGACTAACAGCTTCTGAAGGTGGAGGGGGGCTACCAGATTGAATATAACTACAGATAGAGGACTAAATTTCTTAAAATATGCATTTATTTGGTAATGTAGTTTATTTTCTTTTTTGAACAATTTACCTAATCCAATGACACTATGTAAAGCTTTTCTTTTTTATAAAGATTATAAAAAAATATTATAAATGTGTTGAATTGTCAAGACATACCCAAAAATTTTCAAATACCACAAATATTAATTTTACCTCTTCACTCTTTGACTTATGAAGAACAAATCCCTTCTTCCACTGACCATCAGCACCTTCATTTGGTTTCCGTATATTAAATTCTACTTTTGCCCGGTCCTTATTTTGAATAGCCTTCCACTCATCCAAAGTCATTTCTTTTGGACCCTCTTCCTTAACTTCTTCAACTTCGTTTTCCCTGTGAAAAGATGTTTAAATTTTATATCTACAAAGTGGCTGACAAAAATCTGTTACTTATAAGAAGTTAAATCTTGTTAATCAATCTTTTAGGGAAAATTATCCAAGGATGGAAGGATCATAATTTTTGTAACCCAATGGCTAACATTAATTTGGCAGGCACCAGGTAGTCAATGCTTGTTGTATTAGTCAAAGTATGGATAAGTTGCCGAAACCGGTTTAGCTCAGTGGATAGAGCATCGGTCTGCGGACTGAAAAGGTCCCAGTTTGATTCCGGTCAAGGGCATGTTCATTGGCTGTGGGCACATCTCCGGTAGGTGGTGTGCAAGAGGCAGCTGGTGGATGTTTTTCTCTCATCAATGTTTCTAGCTTTCTATTCCTCTTCCTTCCTCTCTATTAAAAAAAAAAAAAAAAAATCAATAAAAAAATATATATTTATTTTTAAAAGGTAAGTATGGATAAGTAAAAAAATACAATTCATAAACTTTTAAATGCTCATCTATCAGTACTACAACCTGGAATTGGACTTACCAAACATAAAGAGAAACATCAATTGGTTGCCTCCCATACACGCTCCAATTGGGATTGAATCTGTGACCTATGCATGTGCCCTGACAGAAAATCAAGCCCGCTACCTCCTTGGTGCATGGGATGATGCTCCAAACAAGCCTCCCCACAGGGGTTAACACACATTTCTTAAAACACTCCTTTCTCTTAAAAGGAACCCTCGTGCACTGCTGGTGGGAATGCAGACTGGTGCAGCCACTGTGGAGAACAGTGTGGAGTTTCCTCAAAAAACTGAAAATGGAACTCCCATTTGACCCAGTAATCCCACTCCTAGGAATATATCGCAAGAAACTAGAAACACCAATCAGAAAGGATATATGCACCCCTATATTCATAGCAGCACAATCTACAATAGCTAGAATCTGGAAACAGCCTAGGTGCCCGTCAGCAGATGATTGGATCAAAAAACTATGTACATCTACACAATGGAATACTATGCTGCCATGAAAAAGAAGGAATTCTCATCATTTACAGCAACCTGGATAGAACTAAAGAACATCATGCTGAGTGAAATAAGCCAGTCAATGAAAGAGAAATACCACATGGCCTCACTCATTTATGGATATTAAAGAACATTATAAACTGACAAACCAAAAGTCAGATATAAAGACAGTAAAGCAACAAGCAGACTGTAAAATTACAGCGGGGAGAGTAGGGAGAGCTGGGGGAGATAAGAGATCAACCAAAGGACTTGTATACATGCATATCAGTACAACCAATGGACACAAAACTCTGGGGAGGGAGGGTATATATGGAGGGGGGGGGAGCAATGTTAAAATATGTACACAGATAATTAAAAAAAAAAACAAAAAAAAACACTCCTTTCTCTTAAAGCCGTAATGTTACATAATTAAAATATTTGGCCTAACTTCTCCTAAAACATTTTTTTAATTTTCCACAATACATAACTTATAACATGTTATATCATCTAGAATGCCTGTGAACCACACTTCACATTCTAAATATAAAAAGAACTGTTCCTCTATCCTTTATTTTAGGATAACGCTGATGGCAAAAATCTTTAAAAGCCAAGTTAAAATCCTGGATTCTATATATGCCAACTTTCAAACCAACCTGAGTGTGGGCAGGAAAAGTGAGGTTTCACTAGAAATAAAACTCTTCACAAAACATATTGGTTTCAATACTTAATAATGAGTTAGTTATTCCCAAATGTATTATATATTATGAATTTCCATTTTTGCAGAAAGAAAGCCTAGAAGCCCATTATTTTAATCTAGTATCAATTTCCAATTGTCATCAAACAAGTTGTTTGCTATTTTGGGAGCTCTGCTTCTTTCCAAAGATAGCAGATGTTCCAGTAAGCCTTAGAGCTCAAATAGCTCCCTCTATGCTACTCTGTAGTCTGACTAATCCCTACCTTACAATTTTAAAGTTTACATTGAATTGATGAGATTTGGATATGAGGTCCAGCTGTCAGTTTACAGATGAGAAAGCTAAGAAAAAAATGTCCTAGTTACTAAGTTGTGACACAGCGAAGAATGTAACGTAACTCATCACATTTTGTCACATGGAACCAGGACACCTACCTTCAAGGATTGTTGCAAGGATCAAATGAGACAAAACAAACACTCTGGAAACTATATATAAGGCAATCAAAGTCAGCCAAGCACTGCTTTATAAATGTGTATTTCCATATTCAAGATACAGTACTATGTTTAGATTCTCTCCACTCTGAAAACCGCTCTTAATATCATTATCATAATCTTTAGACCAAATACCCTCAATTTCATGCCTGGGTCTTGAATTAAGAATTTGCTTCCAATACTCTATCAATAATATATGATTTCCTTGTGGTAGACATTTAAAATCTTTGCAGGTCACACTTATGGTGATTTAAATATGGGCTCTTTATTAAAGAATGGTTGTATTGGCATTGTGAAGCACTCAATATTATATAAGGCTCATTTAACTCATCCACAATTTCACTGTTTACCAAATAAAATTATTATTCTATATAGTTTCACATAAATGAATTTATCTAAGTTAAACACATCATCCAACACCATGCATTTTTTCTACTGTCACCAATAAAAGCAAATGTATTATTCCTTATTCCAATAAACCCATGGAATATGATACCCTTAATCATTAGTAATAGTTCACTATAAGAGCAATTCTTAAGAAAAAGCAAAGTTTATTTATTTATTTAAATATATTTTATTGATTTTGTACAGAAAGGAAGGGAGAGAGATAGAGAACTAGAAACATCGATGAGAGAGAGTCATCGATCAGCTGCCTCTTGCACGCCCCCCACTGGGGATATGCCCGCAACCAAGGTACATGCCCTTGACCGGAATCGAACTTGGGACCCTTCAGTCTCCAAGCCGACGAAGAAAAAGTAAAGTTTAGAAAAGCATCTCCTCCTTGATTTGATTATGCCCCAGTTAAGAATTAGACCTAAGTAATCTATAATGCAAAACTTTAAACCACAATACCGTAAGAAATTTATAATTTCTGCTTTGACGGAAACTAGAGAAAGGCATTAAATTATTTCTACCATCCTAACTTGAAACTTTAAAACTCTCACCCTTGAATAAACAAAAACTTCAAAACCAAGTCTTCTACCTAAAGACTCTCACAGAGACAATGAAAATGATTTAAGAAAGCTAGTGAATAACATATTCTGGCATTTGCTCTCATATATTTTAAAGCAAGTCAATAATATTATGTTCCAAACTCAATGTTGATGGAAAATAAATTTCAAAGAGGCGGAATTTTAACTTATTCATGTTTCCTAGCATTAAACTGTTTCAAGATAAAACCTGAAGTTACAGAGTCCAAAGTACTTTGAAATATGAGTTCTAAATACTACAACTTCTCTTATTTCAACCATTTGGTCTAATTTTTAGTAGCCTCCAAATTTCAGATTCTAGTTCTCACCTATTTGATGTCTTTGGACAGCAATCAGTTGAATTATCCATTATTTATGTATCTATTACCATTATCTCTATCAAGTAAGGTTAGGTAAAATGCATAGCATCTTATTCCTATTATCTATTTTGAGGTTACAATAGTTAATTTTTGTGCTCGGGGCTAGCAGGTCTTACTATCTTCCCTTATTTTTTTTTAAGACAGCAATTGTTATTTTAAATATTAATACCATTTCTATTTTTCAAATCACTAGAGCCCAATATACCAATATATACATGTATAAAACACTCCTCTATATAAACACTACTTGATGAATTGGGGTACCATGAAAGTCTCTTCTGTTAAAAAGCCATCAAGTAACAGAATTTAACCTATAGGCTCTCTTGGTAAAAATCCAAATTGATTTCACCGAGAGCAATACCATTATACATAAAACAACTTACTTATTTTCAGTGTCTGCAACTGGATGTTCTTCACCTTCAGGTGTTTCCTCAGTCACATTTGGTTGCTCCAAGTCACTGCAATTATAAGATATTTGTTTCTGAATGTATTTTGGGGACTCTCTAAGGAAAGAAAAAGAAAGGCATCTAGGTCCATTTACATGTAACTGAAGAATTCATTACACAAAAACATTTTAAAATCCTCACAATCCCCAAGTAAGAGTCTTTCCTTACTAAATAAATGTATACTCTAGTAGGCCTTTAAGAGGAAATAATTTAAAAAATGTTATCTTGATCCAAATTATAGTACTTTACTCAAAAACAGGACAGAAGTTAAGTTTTAAAATAATGCCTCACTTGCTTATCAAATTTTTCTAATAACCACAAGGGTCAATAGCTACAAACTATTAAAGACACAGAATAAGAATACCCAAACACTTCAATGCAGGGTTTCAGAGAAAGCTATATATCCATATGAAAAGAAAAGCCAATTATCACATATACTGAAAATTGGTCACTTGATACAACTATAATATAAACATAGCCAACAAGAGGTTATCTTGTATCGAAGACATACAAGATATTTAGCAATAAAAGTTATTACATTCTTGTCCCAGAGACAAATAATATTTAAGAGTTATGAGTGAGCCTCAAAAAAGATATAGGATCAATTTTATAAAAATTATTTTTAAAAATCAGAATACCAACGTTAATTCATCTTTGACAGTTCCCCAGTTGTGAGATCCGCTACCTCCACGTTTGTCCTCGTGCTTCAGGCCACTGTAATGTGAGAAAGAACTAACAAAACTGAGTTAACATAATACTCTTTGATTCTAGAAATTCAAAGTTTTATTAAAAAAAAAAAAATACTCAAATAAATACCAATATAAGACTTACGATCTATCACTTCCACTATGCCTATCAAATTCACGTTTGCCACGAGAGTCAAATCCATCTCCTCGGCCCATTCCTCGTCCACGTCCACCTCGACCTCTTCCAAGACCACCCCGGCCTCGGATAGGCCGGTCAATAATCGGTCTACAACAAATAAAGATTATATACATCCCAGGTTTCCAGAAAAAATAGGGAAATTCATTCAAAGACTCAAAAATACAGGAATATAATTATTGGCTCATAAGCCAACAGTTAAACCATGTTTTAGAAAATTCAAAACAACCTATTTCTACACACATAAAGGAAATAAAAACTAGGAAGCTACTCCCACCACAAGAACATTAATTTTACATAATTTAAAACTTATTAGTGCACATTCTTTTTGTTATTCATTTTACGTAATAATCTAATAAAACTACTATTAATAAATACATTTAATAATTAAAATAAACAAATCTAACCTGCATAATGAGTAATCTGCTTTGCTATAAACAATACAACAGAACTTTCCTGTTAACATCTGGGGATAGCAAGAAAAAAAAACTGTCTATCAATTCAACTAATTGTTTCACTATAAGGAACCTAAGGTTGAACACTAAGAACTGCTATTGAAATAACAATTCAGATGTTTCTTTGAAAAACTGATAAACATAAGCCACACTGCTACCTAAGCAATTATTACCGATTTATAGTTTTATGTTGAGACTCTATAAACTGACAAAACATGAAGAGATTTGAAAAAAATCTTGCCTATCAACTGAAAATTCTCCTCCTTCACCCTTTTCTTCAAGTGGCTTTTCAAATCGTCTTTCACGAGGTGGTCGCCGTTCTGGTCTCCTATCAATTATTTTCCCTTCACCTTGAAGTTGTTGATCAGGTCTTCTTCCAACACGTCTTATTCCTAAAATGATAACCAGCATAAAGCAAATTATTTTTGCAACTCAAAAAATTTAAGCATAGACTTAAAAAGGTACATTGTTAATCTTCAGGTCCCTAGCTAGCACATGCTGTTAAAAAGGCAAACACTGGGCATATCTAAAGTGGAACAAAGTACTTTAGACAAACTCCTATTTTAAATAAACTTGTTTCAAACTTCTGTCTGGTTTGCCAAGTCACTTTCACCCCCTAAAAGCATTCTCTGCAACTGACTTGGAAGTTAACTGGGTAGGCAGCCATTATTCCTCTGACTTTTTAAAATGCCAGTCTTACCATAAAATTCTAAATTTAAAGAAATTTTAGGCAAATGATACATTTTGGCTTTAAATATACCAAAGATAACACCAGCAGCCATTCATAAATAATAACCAAGAAAATCCATATACATTCATTGAACAGATAAGGACCTTAAAAAAAATTTTTTTAAACGCCACACTTTTAATTTATGTAATCTGGAGGGGGGGAAAGCAACAACCTCAAGAGTTAAATAAATAAATATATAAATAAATGACTGGTAATTCTATGAAACTACAAAATTGAAAAGAAAACAAATAGCATCTAGGATTGCACAGCCACAATTTGAAATAGCTATTTATCCAGAAAAAAAAGTACCTCCTCTGTTAGTTTCTATATGTTTTATTATACACACTATACCTAACAGAAAAACTGTTACACAATCTTTAAAATACTCGATATTTTGCTATTATGAATGGAGAACATTTCTTTTGGTTTGTTCTTACCAGTGCATTTACCCTGTTAGTATCTAATACCAAGAAGCAATCAATATGCATTACTGGTGGCCTTAAGAAGGACTAGATTGATGGTTAAACTCATGTCTGTAAAATTCCAGGTATGCCATAATTCCCAAACCACAATTTCTAACAAAACCAAACAGCAGCCAAGGAACTGTTTTTATAACAAGATCTTAAGTAGATTTACCCTGGTTCTTTCTAAGAAAGTGGAACACAAGACTCATCCAATTGTTCAGGTGCTTGACTCTTTTGATAAAACTTTAAAGTCCATCCCACATAAACGCTCAGTATGGGCACATTGTTAGATCGTACACCACGGCATTTTAAATAAATTTCATCAGAGCTCAAGGTGTATGGGGTGGAGCTTGGAACCAGTCTTTATAATGATATCCAAGCCAAACACACCCAAATGAACAATGGCTTATTTCCCCACCCAATATTCATTATTAGGCTTACAGAATCTAAAAACCCAATAGACATCATTTAAAAATGCATGCTTCTCTTGATATTCACTAGATAACAGGCTTTTAACTAAAAACAAAAAAAATCACATTGGTCTATACTCAGTGGTAGTCTGTGGTGTCAATTCTCAAGTTCTTCAAACTTACAAAAGATTAGCTATAAAGCTAATTCTTAAAATATGAACATTATATATCTAGGGTAGTCTAGCGCTGTACCAGGATCTTTCTTCAAAAGCACAGAACACATGATCAGGCTAACTATCCTTCCCACTACTGGAGGCAGACTTTCTAAGTCCCCTTCCCCAATGACCACAACATCAACTGACAACAGGATCTCAAAATGAGTATTTTTCATTCAACGTTTTCCCTTTATTTATAAATTTGTTTTATGCAATATAAAGTTAGGAGTGCCCTGAAATACTGACCTAAGGAAAATGTTGATAGTTAATATGGGAGATTTCCCGAAGACTTCTGAATTATAAATTTATGAAGCAATTCCCTACCTTTGTAACTTAAAATACTAGTTTCCAGGTAAGAGCTTATTTCAGATATGGGTTTTATGATCGAAACAACTGAGGGATTTAAAACATGCTTCATCCTTTGAACGTTCAAAAAAATGAACACACCTACCTTGCACATTTTAGATTTACACTTCCGACTCAATTTTTTTCATGTGCTTTCTTGGGATTACTCTGATCAAAGAGGTAAAGATGAGCAGTTTAAATAATTACACAAGCTATTCAAGCGAGTGTTCCTTAACACAGAAATTAAACGATTTATTCAGTTGTGCTACAGGTTGCCCTAAGTCTTCTTAGTTGACAAAACAGGTGTTTGGCTTACTCTGTGTACACATGCTTTCTTTCTAACACAACAACTTGTGCTTCCCCCCAACCTGTAATTTTAGTACAGGAATGCTTGTTTTACTCACCGCCTAGTTCTCCATGTCAAAACCTCACGTAAGTTCTAGTTAAGAAAACAAAACAAAACAAAAAAACCCCACACCACCAAAACCCTAAGCCAAAATATAATACACGTGGTTTAAAATCAGTTGAACGCTAACCAATCCAACCTAAAGCTAATGAGAAACAACTCCTTTCCGGAGCACGTGGCAGCAAAGCGAAATTTCAACCAATGCAGAAAACCAACCACGACTCGCGGAGCTTGGCTATTTGCAATGGGTCCCGTGTGCCTTTCTTGCCCTCCTCTCCTCCCCCACCCCCCGCAACTGCTTTGCTTTCTCCATTCACCACAAAAGACAAGCACGCGATGCCGTGAAAACGCAGGAAAACACTCACGCCTCACACACTCCGGCGAGGTGTCCGGCGTGACCTGGAAGCAGCTCCCGCCGCCGCCGCCGCCGCCAATGAGACGCCGACCACGCCGCCCGCACGTGTGGAGCCCGAGCTGCGCTCAGAGGCTCCCGCTTCTGCCGGGACCAACGTGACAGCCTGCGCGCTCCCCGCACCACGAGGCCCGGGCCGGCCACCCCGCCTGCAGCGCGGGGCTGCGGGGCCGGAGAAAGGGTCGCGACGAGAGGACGACCCTCGGGGCTCCCAGGAAGAGCCCCTCTCCATCCAGAATCCCCGCGGCTGCGTCACCGGGTGCAGCCCAATGTGTCCCCTTCCCTCTAGCAACTCGCCAAGTTTAAAATAGTGGAGAGGGTGTCTGTGTGTGTGGGGGGAGGTGTTCCATGAGGCGCATGAGGCACCTAAAGCAGGTAGATTCCTTCGCAGTTACCCGACCCCCAGCTTCTCACAGGGCGCCCCCCCACCATCGTGGGACAAGATGGCAGGACAGCAGCCTAAACCAGACTACCGCACCTCGGAGCAGCCCTGAGAGAGAGAGAGAGAAAGGGAGCTCTGAGCGGGAGGGCGCCGGGGACCCCACGCTGCCCGGGAACCTCGGGCCGACAGCCGCGGCGGGATCCGGCGGGAAGGCGGAGGGCGGCTCGCCGCCGGGCCGCGCTGCTCCCGCCGGAGCCCGAGGCGGGAAGCCTGCAGGAGGGGGTTTGAATGCGAGGCTCCCCGGGCTCACCCGCCGGACCGGGCTTCGGTCCTGTGGCGGCAGCGGGAGGAAATCGCGGCAGAACCTCCCGCGGACGCTCGGAGCCCGAGGAGCAAGCGGTGGCCGCGGTCCTGCCCCGCTCCTTTCCCTCACGCCGGGTCTTGCCCACCTTCCAGCCGCGGACTTACCTTCTTTCTTAAGCGGCACGGGCGGCTGCGTCTCCTCTTTCTTGTCAGCCACGCCGACGTTGGACGGCAGCGGGTTCTTACGTTCTTTCTGGGACTCTTTGCGCAGCTGTTTGCCTGCCGCATTGGAGTTGGTCTGGGCTGCGGCCTGAGCTGCGCTCTTAGCCCCGGGGCCCCCAACACCGCCCCCGCCGGCTTCTTTTTTCTTGTTCTCTGCTGCCTTTAACACCTCGAAGGGGTCCGATTCGTCGTCAAATAACTGGTCGAATCGGTTGGTGACCACGCAGCCGAAGCCTTCCTGTAAATGCCCAGGCATGATGGTGGCTCGGCGGCGCGTTCCTCCACGGATTGCAGCGGGCCGCGCCGAGCCAAGAGCGCCTGCTTCAGCTCTTCCCACAAGATGGCCGGGCCGAGAGAGGGGGGCCGTCTTCTCTTCCGGTGCCAGGCACACATCCGGGAGCGGCCGGCGCCGCGGGGCATCATGGGGTATGTAGGCCAGAGTGGCTTTTCCCGAGACGGTTCCCGACACCGGGACTCTAATTCCCAGGAGGCACAGCGCGACAACTCTTCGCGCGCGCCTGGGAGTCCCGACTGCGCGGTGGGAGTCGGGGCGTGTGAGGTGAGGGAGGGGAAAATGCGGCGGTGGGCGGAGTCCTGCCACCTGCTCCCGCCACCCTTCCACTCTCGGAGTCTCGAGCTGTGCTGAAAACAGGAAAACGTGACTGCGTGTTTTGCTCCCGAAAGTGTACTATCTTTGGTTTTCCTCCCCCGGTCTCTGGCCCAAGGCCAACTTTCTCCACCGCTCCGGGGAGGGGTCAAGGTGACTCCCAGGTCTTTGGGCCGGAGACTCTCAAACTTCCGGGGCCGGCGGGGGGGACCGCCGAGGTGCCTCCCCGGCCTCACCCAGGCAGGACCCGACCTGTTTCAGTTTGAAGTCCCTCGCTGCATAGTTGCTGGAGTCGCCCTCCTCCTGAATCCCTAATAACGAATCGACAGTGTTTAACGTGACGCAGAACCTGCTTCTCTCGGAGACGTGAGCTTGCAGAGCAGAATTATTAAAAGGACAACTGTCACGTGGGAGTAGGGTTGCGCGCCTTTCCTGGGCGAGAAACGCGGTTTTGCGATTAACTCCTTACGGGGCAGCAATCGCTAGACCCTGGGCAAGCCTCGAAAAGGCACTGTTTGCAGAAAGGCTTTTCTCGAGTCCGTGGTCCACTCGTGTCCAGCAAGCCAAGGATTAGGTGTTAGTAAAACGTGCTCAAGAATTAACATTTTACAGCATCTGAGCTTGCGGTGTGCTGAGCGGTACCAGTAGGAGAGGAAAATGTCAGCGACTTGTCGCATAATTAATGCATATTAGTTGAGACTATCAACGTCTGTTAAGGTAATTGAGTGTCAATGCATATTCAAGCATATTTGGTGACGCTAAATGTTTAAGTATATCATCGTAGTTTTTAAACTTTTTTCCATTAGCACAAAATATATTAGAAAATGCACCTCTTATGTTCCAGGTGCTGTGAATAGCCTTAACCGGGACAAGGTAGATGCTTTTTAGGTAGGTGCTTTTCCCTTTTCACAGATGATGAAACCATTTCAGAGGTGAAATGACTTATCAAGTTCACACCTCTGTTGAAATGGTAGTGCCAGGAGTTAACGCCAGTTTCTAACTCCACCAGGAGACTGTTGACATCAACGCCTTCATCCAAACTCTGCCTTCCGATAGAAGTCAGTCAATTCTTAATTTCCAGTATTTAATACGATTTAAATATTGTTGGCACATTAGGCAAAGTGAGTAGCCTGGCTGAATGTGATCTTATTAATTTCTGAGCAGATTTTAAATCAGTTCCCTGCCAGAGAAAATAAAAGACAGAATCACATTTCAGGCATGTGGCAGCAAGCCTGGTGGCTTTCTTTTTTCTAAGTCCAGCCCCCACTCCTCAAAGTCACCGATTTCCCTGTGGTCTCAGTCCCTGCCACACACACACCCTTTTCACACACACACCCCACTCCCTTCTATAAGCTCTGGCTCTTGTGGATCCTACCAAGATAAGAGATAATGAGGTTTTTGACCACATTCTTCAAGCACCTTTGAAAATAGCTTAAGTGCAATTTGGAAGATCTCCATGCTTTAAAAACATTTTCTTTTTACCAAGGGTTGTTAATAGCTGCATCTTTGAGATATATGCTACAACTTACCTCTTTCTGGCCACTCACACAGTATTAAGAGCAAAAACTTGATGTGCTCAGTATACTTTACATGTGTGATCTCACTTCATCCTCACATCAACTCTTGTATTTCTAAGGGGAGGAAAATGAAGCACAAAAGGACTAAGTAATTTACCTACTTCTGCCATAATCTGGGCAGTGGGGCTGGCCTGTTCATATTCATTTTTATCCTATGTACAGATCCCTGGTTTCTTCAAATAGATTTTTTATGATCACCAAGCACTAATAATAATGTTTCAATCTAAGCTACACATAGAAGGATTGTATGGCTATGAATTTATGAGGTTCACTTAATGCTCTTTAGAGGATTTACCTATTACTATAGCATAAAAATATGAATAAAATTTGGGGGAAGGAAGAAAAACTTGTAAGCACTTTCAAATTCCTTCTTTCCCTTTCTTCTTTCATGGAGTTTTGGTTAATCCAGGAAAATTTTAAAGACCATTTTTAAAGTATACAAATAAGTTTCAAAATGATAATTCTTTTACATCTCAAATAAATTATCTATAATAATAAAAGCATAATATTGACCGAATGGCCCAACAACGGAATGACCATCCGGATGACCTTCTGGATGAAGCTGGGCATTGGGCCTCTAGTTATCTTATAAATAACTATTTTCACCAAAGTTTCCTTTCTCCTTAGAAGTTAAAATAGTTTTAAAAAGTATTTAAATGTCCCTGCTACTTTCATTAGAAAATAATATCGCTGAATAAACCTAAGGGAGGAAGAAAGGAGACTTCATGGCAGACTTATTCAAATTAAAGACTTCATGGCAGACTTATTCATATTTATTGTAAAGTGACAAGTTGTACCACTGATGAGAAATGTAGCAAGCTTTCTTTAGCAAGCTTAAATCACATACTGTTCTCTGAAAAATACACAATTTCACAACCTTTACCTATAACATGCTCTCAAAACAGTAAATTCTGAAAACTATACAAATATCTTGATTAAATATCCAATATGTTTGCTTAATGGTTATGGAACTGAACAACAATATTATACCTCCTTGCAACCCTTACTTCCCTGTAGGATGCTAATACTCAGTTTTTAACTACATTCCAACTTGTTTTCGCCCATTTCTCAATAACCTCAATTCTCTATTACTGTTACTATATTTTAATCATAATTACTAGCAAGTATAATTTAAGCCTTTATTATAAACTTAACACTGTGCTAGATACTTTACATTCATTTTTTTCCTTTAATTCTCAGAACAACATTATGAAATAAGTAGTATTAGTATCTCTACTTCCCCTTTACAGATAGGAAGACTGAGATTAAGAACCTCTCCCAGCCGAAACAGGTTTGGCTCAGTGGATAGAGCGCTGGCCTGAGGACTGAGGGGTCCCAGGTTCGATTCCGGTCAAGGGAATGTGCCTTGGTTGCAGGCACATCCCCAGTGAGGGGTGTGCAGGAAATAGCTGATGGATGTTTCTCTCTCATCGATGTTTCTGACTGACTATCTCTCTGTAAAAAATCAATAAAATATATTTAAAAAAAGAACTTCTCCCAAATTCACATTGCCTGAAAGAGTTTAGGCAGTATGATCTTACAGCCTGGACACCTAACTATTATACTTCTGAGGAACATTATATTGCTGGTACCTGTAGCAAGAGAAAACTATTATTCTATTAAAACACTTTTGGGACACCACATAAAATGTAAATAAGAGACTCTAATTTTTAATGTACTTTAAATACATTATGCATTTTTAAAATAAAAGCAATAAAGATGGTTCTTTTTTAAGGTATATTTTTATGGATTTCAGGGAGAAAGGGAGAGAGAGTTAGAAACATCAATGTTGATAGAGACTCATTGATTGGCTGGCTCCTGCACGCCCCCCATTAGGGACAGAGCCTGAAATTGGGCCCTGACCGGGAATCAAACCTGTGACCTCCTGGTTCATAGGTTGATACTCAACCTTTGAGGCACACAGGCCAAGCTAAAGGTGGTTCTTGTGAAGAAAGGGCATAATATCTATGTCTCAGGATGGAATGCTAAGTATAATCTTGCAAGTTGAGGCTCTTACTAAAGTTAGAATATCAAAGCTAAATATAGAAATATTACACTCTCTATTTTGCTACCTCAAATTTACTTTGTAAGTTGATCCTCTTTATTTTAAACTTCCATTTTTATCCTACATTGCACTCTTAAAAATAAAAACAGCTTTATTGAGATATAATTCACATGCCATATAATTTTTCCATCTAAAGAGTACTGTTCAAAGGTTTTTAGTTTTTTCACAAAGTTGTACAATTATCACCACTATCTAATTTTTATCACACACATACACACCTCCAAGGTAATCCATACTCATTAACAGTCATTCCTCATTCTCTCCCACACCAGTCCTAGTAATTTACTTTCTGTCTCATAGATTTGCCTATTTGGGCATTTCAGATAGATGGAATCTTGTAGTACATGGTATTTTGTGACTAGCTTCTTTTACTCAGCATGTTTTCTAGGTTCATCCATATTGTAGCATTTATCAGTACTTCCTTTTTATAAGTGAACTAGAGGCCTGGTGTATGAAAATTCATGCACAGGAGGAGAGGTCCCTTAGCCCAGCCTGCCCCTTCACAGTCTGGGAGCCCACAGGGGCGGGAGGTGACCCGGCGATCAGAAAAGGTGATATCCCATCATACCTCTGCTGCTGCCACTGCCAGCAGTGCAAGCCTCAGCTGGCCCTGGTTATCTGATCCTTGGGCAGCCCCAGGTGGATGGGGGGCTGAGGAGACTGGATGCCACCATCTTGTGGTTGTGGGTGCCAACATCTTTGAGGGTGTGGCAGTCAATTAGCATATTCCCTCCTTATTGGCTGTGGGCACCACCATCTTTGTGAAGGTATGAGGGTCAATTAGCATATTCCCTCTTCATTAGATAGGATAATTTTCCATTTTATGAAGAGACTACACTTTATTCATTCACCTATTAGTGGATATTTGGATTAGTTCTGCTTTTTTGGCTGTTACGATATTTGTTTGCAGGGATTGTGTAAACATACAAGTGTCTGTAGCCAAATGAGCTGAGTTTGGGGTGGCAAATTGGCGGACAAATCCTGTGGTGAATACCAGGCAATGCTAT